TTTTTTTTTTTTTTTTTTTTTTTTTTTTTTTTTTTTTTTTTTTTTTTTTTTTTTTTTGTAATGAGTTGTGTTCATTGGGCAAATACAAACCTCACCTAAAATTCGACGAAATCACAAAAACGGACGAAAAATGTGTATGGGGCTTGAGATTTGTTTAAGGTTTGTCATGAGCATGTTAAGATCATGATGTTGCATAGTAAAAATTGTACGACCATGACACCATACAAGATGGTCACCTATAAAGATGTCGATTAGAATGTCTCGGTGAGTTCGACTAGAGGGTCGAAGAAATTTAAAGTTTTGACCTTAATGTCACATCTTATTAACCAGACAAACCTTCTCTAATAACCCGAGCTTGAAGACGGAAGAGATAAGAAGGCATCGACCAAACCTAGCACGACGGGGCGACTAAAATAACTTATCAAATCTCTTTTATAGATCGTGTTACTCGTCAAACGAAGTGCATCGAACCAAGGTGAAATAGTGGCAAATCCACGTGGAATATGTAAGAGCCATATATATATATATATATATATATATATATATATATATATATATATATATATATATATTTTAAAAAACAATTTTATTTTTTTAGAAAAAAGAGAATAATTGGATTAAAAAAACCTAAATAATGTGGAAAAGGAGAACAAGAACACGTGAAAATAGCAATGGATCAAAGACGAAATAATAATAATAATTATAATCATAATAATAATAATAATAACAATAATATTCGAAGGGCATGTCAAAGAGTTTTTTATTTGGTGAGACATATCTCCTTTAGAGCATAATATATATAGATATTATTCTGATCTCATATTCATTCGTTTTTTTGATTGAAACTACGTGTCAATACGATCAAATGTGTTCGTTCTTTTGTAGAGGTAGAGATTATTTGGTGCATTGACTCCATTTGTAACAGTTCAAGTCCACCGCTAGTAGATATTGTTCATTTTGGCTCGTTACGGGTCGTCAAAGTGACATCGACCACATTTGTAACAGCCCAAGCACACCACTAGTAGATATTGTTCGATTTGGCTTGTTAGGTATCGTCATAGTGGCATCGACCCCATTTGTAACAGCCCAAGTCCACCGCTAGTAGATATTATTCACTTTGATTCGTTACGTGTTGTCAAAGTGGCATCGACATCACTAGTAGATATTGTTCGATTTGGCTCGTTACGTATGGTCATAGTGGCATCAACTTTTTTTTTTTTTTTTTTTTTTTTTTTTTTTTTTTTTTTTTTTTTTTTTTTTTTTTTTTTTT